AATTGATGAAATCAATGAAAAAGCATATATCATATCATATCATATTCATAAGCACAAATACGATCGGACATATCAGAGGTTTCCAAAAACGGGATGTTTTCCTCTGCAGAGAATTAAAGTTTCTGCTGACTAATATTCCTGCAGGAGTCTTCTAGTGTTGTCAAATAATTATTTGTTGTTAAATAAATGCATTCATATAGTTGTCATTCATTTGTTATCCCTTCGAAACCTGCCTCACCCATACCACAGTGGTAAGATCTTCAGCTTTTATTACGATCAGTCACGTAACCTTTGACAATCTTTGACCTATTCATCATCGCAAGTTATATTTCGATGCTGAACGCATTGCGATAAAATGCATTCAGTGGCTTGGCTCGCTGTGTTCTTGGTAGAACCGAATGACAGCCAACAGTGATCGTTTGAACAGCACGCACGAACTGGTAGCGAGTTCGTGTCGCAGTCGGATGATCGCATGCGATCCGTCTCAATACGGCCACATCGCGTTTGATTGGCATACACAAAGCTCCTGAACTGCCGCGGCTTTTGCGACACAAACAATACGCTTCAGCCAGAATTCTCGGCTTGCGATCATTATCATGGTTCAGCCTGTAAACGTTCAACTCAGCTTACCACTAGCAAGCGGTTGACTGCAGCAAGCTGTTGATAATAACTGTCAAGTGTCAACGTTTGATTGTGCAACAAAAACAAACCTCCACTGCCATGGGCATAATGATCGCTGCATGATCGACGTTTCAGCGCCAGTTTCTGGAGGACTTTCGCAAATTTGATCCTCTTTAATTGGCACAATCCGATCCTCGTCCATCAGATCAATGGCTAGGCTCTCAGCAGATTCTTTGGACCATTCGTAAACCTGGAATTTGTATTCTTTGCATTCAAACAGTGATTTGTTCTTTCGTTTGTGGCCCATATCTAAATTGCTCAGTACTTACAAAAAAATCAACATTCAGTTTCGTTAGGCTGTAAGTTATCACTTGATAACCATGATACGATCCAAATAATCACCTATGATTATTCGTTCAGTCCTATTTTAAAGCATAATGCTGAATATCGAACGGAGTGAACCGAACGCACAAGGTTATCTATATCTCTGAATCGCAATTCATCGTTCGCTGTTGTTAAAACAAATCACTAATCAATCATTAATGACTCGTCAGTGAAAACGATATTTTGATCGATAATAAAGCGTTTATCGCAACTTTCATCAATTCTATATCTTAAATGAGCAATAACTCTCAAACGGCAAAATTGTTTCAAGGTGGAAGGTATAAAAGAAATCGTTCGGTTTTTACGAGCAGATTATTAACTGAAACGGAAAACGAACCAAATTTGCGGGATGCTGACAGGGCTTATGCTGATAATTTACTTTCTTATGACGGCTTTTGTGCCTGGAATGAGCTGCAGCAAATGAAGTAGCGTTCATCGTAATCTCACGACAAGCAATCAAAATTTGCAATCGAATGAAACCGCTTAAGCTGACCTTCATTGCCACGCGCTCATCCACTCACTACGATATCAATCTAACAACTAAACCGAATAAGTCGTATGCCGAACTTATCTCCACCTAATCACCGTTCTCTAAATGACCCAAAAATCACATCCCATCAATAATCCCTCCCAAATTTTTCTGTCATTCTTTCCAAGGTGCTGACTATGCTTTCATTACATCCATGCGTTTTCCAAAAGTTCTAAATCAATGTTTTCGTCATAGGGCGATTGGTTCTATCATGGGATATCATTTGATACCGAGTTTGAAATTGTGAAATTTCAGTGAGACGAGCATGATGTGTAACATAGTTGATCATATGTCGCTCATCAATCGCAAGGGCTATTGTTAAATATTATAAATAATGTATATATTATAGATTATGCAATTTCAATCCATCTTAAATTCTTTTGTGCGATGGAGGAAAATTTTAGCACTTGTTTGGCTTCATATTTATAATACACGCCATCAGTATCATAATTAATCATTCGCTATACTTAAATGTTGCGAAAATTATTGCTACTAAACTGTTAAATGTTGCTATTGTCAGTTTTTATCATCATCGTATTATTACAGTAAATTTATTCAGTCATTAAATGACTCAGTGGTATTTTCAGATTGAATTAAATTTATTGAATTAGCTTTTTAAGAGATTATTGCATCGTTCAGTTAAGGTATCATTAGTATCCATCAAACTGCTAGTTTCAATCAACTAACATTAGTTTCAATTAAATAACAATAGTTTTAATCGAATAACATTTTAAATTTTAGATTATTGGAATCATGCTATTATGAGGTTTTACTATACATTTCTCGTGCAGCCAGCATTTATCCTTGTTCGATTATGCTCGTTGTTATTCAAAGGATATTTGCTCTCTTTCCAATCATTTTGACCGCAGTGTCACTCTTCACAGTCAATTTCACCAAGAAGGGGAATAAATTCTCGAGCTGAAGCTAGAGTCGCATCCGAAATTTAATTGGAAAAAGCAAACT